AGAACATCTGTAGGGATACCAGGGAAGTCTGCCTGCGCATGCGACTGCATGACCCTCTCACCCGACAGGGCACGTGCTGCGACCGAAGACGATATCAGACCTCGCGGCACTAGAGGGGCGAATTTCTCTGACTGAGTCCATATCGCTTGTCGTTCACGACCGACGATCTCTCTCTCTCTCTCCCTCTCTCTCTTTTCCTCTCTCTCTCTCTCTCCCTCTCATCTCCAGTGGCCCCCGCGGCGCGCCGCCGTGGAGCCGTGGAGCCTTTGCCCGCGCCTCGAGCGGTGGAGCCGTGGAACCGTGGAACGCTTGCGCCCGCAGCCGCCGCCCCCACCCCGCGTCGGGCAGGCGCTCTCCACGGGCACGGCCGCGGCGCAGCGCCGCCCTGCCCGGTCGGGGGCGGCGGGAGGTGCACGGCGCTGCCGCTTCGGAGTGCCCCCAGGCATCGGGCGGTGGGCGCAGCGTCCGGGTGCTTCGGTGGCAGATCGTGGGAGCTTCGTGCGCCCCCGCAGGTCCGTCTTTGGCGTCGATTCGCGTCCACTGGCGCCCTGGGAGTCGACGAGATTGCGCCGATTCAGCGTCGGCCAGCGTCGATGAGCGTCGATTGAGCGTCGACTCGCAAGAGCTGGTATGGGAGGCTCCCATGAGTTGCCACCGAACAGTTCGCTTAGAGTCCCACCGAAGAATGTTCTAATATTCATATGTGGTTTGCACGAGCTGTGTTTGAGACATCGCTGGCTCAGGCAGTCTTGTTTCGACCAACCCGTTTCATTGAATCGCTTCGCTCATTCCGCCGGCCCGTATTGTGCCATCGCAGGCGTTTGCTTGTGCGTTCGTGGCCTCATGGAGGCCGTTTCGGGGCCTCTTGGAGCATTTTTTTTGACCTTTCGGTGGTATTTCTGGGACCTCTTGGGGAGTCACGTGGGCCTCTTGGGGGCCTCTTGGGGGTCTCTTGGGGCCTCTCGGGGGCTTCTTCGGGGGATTACTGTGGGCTTCTTGGGGCCTCCAGGGGACCTCTCGGCGCCTAGAGCTCGACATGCCCGTTCGGGTCCCTCGTCTGGGCCCGCTCTTGGACCCTTGGAGCCGTCTGGGGAGCCTCTTCGGTCATCTTGGAGGCCTCTGGGGCTGTCTTGGGGCCCTCTGGGGCCGTTTTGGGCGCTCTTGGAGGCCTCTTGGGCCGTGTCGGGGCGATCCTGGAAGTCTCTTGGGCCGTCTTGGAGCGCTGGTAAGCCGAAAAGGCGCGAACGCCAAGAACTTGCAAAACGTATAGGAAAATCACTCCTCCGTGGGCCCTCTTGGCAGATCTCTTGGAGGCCTCTTGGGGCGTCTTGAAAGCGCTTTGGGCTGTCTGGAGGCCATCTTTGGCGTCTTGGATCGCTCTTGGACCGTCTCGGACCATGTTGAGCTCTCTTGGAGGCCACTTGAAGCGCTCCTGGAGCGCTCTTGGGAGCCTGCTGGGACCTGGCTGGGACCTGCCCGGGACCTTGCTGGGACCTTGCCAGGACTTTGCCGGGACTTTGCTGGGACCTTGCCGGGGTACTTTTTGTCTGGGGACCCCCAGGGGCGGCCCCGCGCGCGCGAACTAGAACTATTGTTAACCAGTTGCCGGAGATCTTAGCACGCCCGTGGCCCGTTGGGCCGGCGAATTTCTGGTGGAAGGACCGGGTTTTTGTTCCTAGAGCATTCTTTCGTTCTACGAACTTCCATGGTAGGCCCATAGGAATGCCGGGACTGTCGGCATCTGCTCCAAAGCAGGTCGGTCCCCCTTGCGCTCGAAGCTCAGTCACCATCCCGAATCATCACGGCGAGGCGAGCTCGGGGGGAGCTGCTGACTCCCGTCCCGGGGGCCCGCACCAGAGCTGCACCTTGGACCAGACTCATCCCCGTCAGTTCGGGCGTCCAGCCCCTCCCGCGTCGTCGGGGCAAAGGGGGTGCTGAGGGGTAGCTCCTGGTGCGCCCACGTCGTCCCCCCGCGCGCCCGAAGTTCGGAGGAGGGCGAGCTGAGACGGTGGTAGTTCGCTCTCGGGGTGCCCTCTCGTCGCCCTGGCTGGATACAGTTAGGAGCACAGGCGCCTTTGGACTGCGGGAGGGATCCGGGGATCGAGAAGCGGTGGTGGTGCTCGTGTGCATGGCACTGCCGCTTCCGAGTGCTTGCGCGCAGCTCGTTCCCCCGTTCGCCCGACGTCGTTTTGGTGCAAAGTAGCTCCGAGGAGGAAGAGGTGCCGATACCTTCCGCTACCCTCTCTTTCCCTTGGTGGCCGCTTGGAGCCTCCTGCCTGGGATGCCCTCGTCGCCACTCCTGGATCCGCCTCGAGGTTCTGGTCAGAGCGCGCCCCGGGAGAGGTCCGGGGAATGAGTAGCGATATCGGCACCTCTTGGTTTCCCCGGCAGCGCTGCCGGCTCCGAGTGCTTCGCGCGCAGGTCTTCCGCCCCCGCGCGCCCGACGGCCCTCCCCGCGGCGGCGGCGGAGGAGCGGCTCGAGACCTCCGTGGCCGAGTCCCGCCGGCATGCGCAGGCGGACACCGGCGCCAGCGCCAGCGCGGAGCTGTCCAGCCTGAGGGACGCGGTCATGTCCATGATGACCGAGGCCGAGCGGGGGCAGAGCCCTTGCAGGATTTTTCCTCGAGGATTCTTGAGGGGGCCAGGGGCAAAACTCGGCACTCTCCTGATGGTGTTGCTGTTCTTGTTGAACATTCTTTCTTCTAAAGAATAATTATTGTTGGGACCCCTGGTGCACGGCCCCCCCGCCGCGCCTAGGCCGCAGCCACATTTTCATCATTTTCGTGAGGAAGTCTCAGGCAAAACGATGTGATCCAGATCCGGTTGTTTTGTTACGGCCCGCTTTCCCTTGCAAAAAATAAGCTAAAGTGGACATTTCTTGTTCTAACATAACCAAACTTCAAGAATCCCTTGCAAAAAATAAGGTAAAGTGGACATTCGCGCGCGCAAGACGAAATCCTTCCAAAACCTTAGTGTTCGTAGCGATTTTAACATAAAAACATCAAACAACCAATGGTTTTTCAACAAAAAAATGTCAAAATTTCATCCCGCGCGCTCTTGCGGATTCGTAGGAAACCCAACACTTTTTAAACATTTCTGTCAAACGGGCTTTTGCGAGCAACTTTTTCGAACTTCTGCAACAACGGTTGCGCACCTGCCAGGGCCATCATCCCTGTCAAATAATACCATGCGGGACACATTCGTTTTTTCTTCGCGCGCGCACGCCGTCGTCGTCGGCCGCGGGGCCCTGAATAGTAGCCACGGTCGTCCGCATGCCACGAAGTGAAGTGTCCGAACGTCATAGGGCGGGAAGCTGGGTGTGGGTGGTGGCGAAGAGTCGTTTGGAAATTTGGTAGAGCTTGAACCGGCCCCCCCACAAAGTGGGGGTATTGCCCGCCTCCTATGAAAACCCTGGCACTGGTGAGAACGGAGTGTCCCCACGTGCTAGTAATTGTTGTTGTTGTTGTTGAACATTATTTCTTCTAAGAATAATTATTGTTGGGGCCCCTGGTGCGCGACCCCCCTCCAAAACCTAGGCCGCAGCTACATTTTCATCATTTTTTCGCGAAGCTTCAGAAAAGTGGATTGTGTCCGGATCCGGTTGTTTTGTTGTAATCCGTTTTCCCTTGCAAAAAACACTATAAAATGAAAATTCTTGTTCTTACTTGATCAAATTGCAAGAATCCCTTGCAAAAAATAAGGTAAAGTGGACATTCGTGCGCGCAAGACGAAATCCTTCCAAAACCTTAGGTTTCGTAACGATTTTAACATAAAAACATCAAAAACCCAATGGTTTTTTAAGAAAAAATTGTCAAAATGTCCTTCCGCGCGCGCTGTCCGAATCCCACAAAACCAATGGTTTTTCAACATTTATGTTACATGAGCTCGCGCGAGCTACTTTTTCTTGTTCTAACATAATCAAATTTCAATAATCCCTTGCAAAAAATAAGGTAAAGTGGACATTCGCGCGCGCAAGACGAAATCCTTCCAGAACCTTAGGTTTCGTAACGATTTCAACATAAAAACATCAAAAACCCAATGGTTTTTCAAAAAAAAATGTCCAAATTTCATCCCGCGCGCGCTGTCCGACTCCCACAAAACCAATGGTTTTTCAACATTTATGTTACATGAGCTCGCGCGAGCTACTTTTTCTTGTTCTAACATAATCAATATTCCCTTGCAAAAAAAGTAAAGTGGACATTCGCGCGCGCAAGACCAACAAAAAACACGACGATCTCAGGAACTTGCCCCAAAAATGTGACCAACTCCGCTCTCTCTGTCTCTCTCTCTGTCTGCTCTCTGTCTCTCTCTCTGTCTGTCTGTGTCATGTATTGTATGTCACAATTGCAGGATGCTGGGCACACGCGCGCCCCGAATAAGTGACCAAGTTCTGTGGGTGTGTACCCCACGCCAGTGTAGTAGCCACGGTCGTCCGCACGCCACGAAGTGAAGTGTCCCAACGTCATAGGGCGGGAAGCTGGGTTTGGGTGGTCGCGAAGAGTCGTTTGGATATTTGGTAGAGCTTGAACTGCCCCCCCACGAAGTGGGGGTATTGTCTCGCGTCGCATGAAAACCCTGGCACTGGTGAGAACACTGAGCGTTCGGGTAAAATGATTGTGGTTGTTGTTGTTGTTGTTGTTGTCGATGATGCTGTTGCTGATGATGATGGTGAGGAGGAGGAGGATGAGGATGGTGATGAATAATGGCGCTGATGCTGCTGGTTATGATGATGAGGATGATGATGATGCTATTGATGATGCTGCTGCTCATGATGATGATAATGATGCTGCTGATGATGATGATGATGATGATGTTTTGTGGTGTGTTCGATTGTGATGAAGATGACGACGAACATGATACTGCTGCTGACGATGATGATGATGAGGATGATACTGCTGCTGTTGTTGTTGAGAACGACGGCGGCGATGCTGATGATTACGATGATGATGCTGATGATGATGCTGATGATGCTGATGATGATGCTGCTGATGCTGATGATGATGCTGCTGGTGATGATGACGATGCTGAGGATGATGATACTTCTGCTGCTGATGATGCTGATGATGATGACGACGATTATGATGCTGATTATGATGCTGATGATCTTGATGATGCTGATGCTGATGTCGATGATGATGATGCTGCTGATGATGGTGATACTGGTGCTGATGCTGCTGCTGATGATGACGATGATGATGACGATGATGAACAATTTGCAAATGATGCTGATTATGACGATGATGATGATTATGCTGCTGCTGCTGATGATGATGATGCTTATGATTATGATTATGATGATGATGATGATGATGGTGATTATGATGATGCGGATGCTAATGCTGATGCTGATGCTGCTGATGATGCTGATGACGAGGGTGCTGCTGATGATGATGATTAGCATAATGCTGATGCTGAGGTTGATGTCGCTGCTGTTGATGATGATGATGATGATGATGATGATGGTGGTGATGATGCTGCTGCTGCGGCTGTTGATGATGATGATGGCGATGATGATGGTGGTGATGATGATGATGATGCTGATGACGATGATGATGACGACCAGAACCAAAACCGAATGGGTCGGACAGGGCTCTTGAGGGTTTTCGTGCCTGGTCGTCTGGCGGATTGGTCTTCATTCCCGGCATGTCTCAGCCACGTCGGCCTGTGGGGATGGGCGTTTTTCGCAATGGCCACCACGAGGGCGCGAAGTCATTCGCGGTTCGCGGTTCGTGGCTCGCGATGCCTAGACCTCGTCTCCCTCCTCCGCCGCGGCGTGAGAGTGCGGAGTTCTTCGCGCGTCGCGCCGCGCGAAATCGCGAGCACAGCTGCCCTTGGCTCTCGGGCCCCAGGACCAGCAGACCTGGATCCTAGACGAAATGCTGCCCCCAAGGGAGAGGAGTCGCTACCTCTGGGGACCGCGGGCTGAACAAATCACATCGCTGGGCGTCTGTGGATTTCTTTTTTTTTGGGGGGGGGTCTCAAGGGCAACGTTAGGAGTGGATAGGCTCAGGGAGAATGCGTCGACTCCCAATCGCCCATTCATTGCCGATGGGGGCCTGACAGCCCACACCACTCAGGAGTGTGCGACCTTCTCGCCGACTCTTCCCATGTTGGTGCTTCCCCCTCTGAGCCCGTCACCCCTCAGGAGGGGGGTCTCTGGAGGCCTCTGAAGGACCTTTGGCGACCTCCGAGGGGCCTCCGTGGCCCTCTGGGGGGCTTCCGGAGAACTCTGGGGACATCCAGCGGTCTCCGCGGAGCCTATGGGTCAGCCGCTGGGACAAGAAGATGATCGCGCAACGCGCCTGGTTGGTTTTGCCGCACAGGCCCTTTTTGAAGGCGGCGGCGCGAGAGCCCGATGAGAGTTAACCGCGCGTCGTGCATCGCGAGGAGCGATCTACGAATCTAGGTGAAGATCCTGGGGTCCTGGACAGAATCGTGACCCGCGGTTTCGCTCCGTCTCGGGCTCGAACTGATGAGGCTCGAGAGATGCCGCGGACTTTTGAAATTTTGGCATTTTGTCACGACGTCGGATCTTGGGGGAGGGGAAAGAGGAAGAGGACGAGGGGGAGGAGGAAGAGGAGGAGGAGGATTCTAGGATTCTAGGATGGCCTCTCGCACGTCCACGCGCCCACGTAAGGTTCACGAGGTCCAGGCAGAGAAGAGGGCGACCACCGTTGAAGGCGGCGCCGAGGACGCACGACGACGGCGAGAACGACAAACGACACAACAACGACCACAACAACGACACACGAACTGATGCAGCGACGCGAACAGCGACGACAACGACGACGGTGGCCCGAGCCTGGGAGAAACAGCTCTGCCTTCCCAGCGGTCAGATGCGCCGACTGCCGGCTCGCTCACTGTGAGTGCCGAGGAGGAGGAGGAGGAGGAATAGGAGGAGGAGGAGGAGGAGGAGGAGGAGGAGTGGAGTGGAGTGGATGCCACCATAAAGGGGATACCCCAAGCTAACCTGAAGCACGAGCGGCCTTCTGTGCTCTGGTCAGCGCCTTTGGCCGTAACCCACGAGCCAACCTACGGAGGTGCTCCCTCCGTGCGTTGGAGATCTTACCAGTGCAAAACGCTTTTAAGCTCTAGGAGAGTATTTCGCTGCTGAAGAAGCCACATGACTTGCATAACCACTCCCTAAGGGACGAGTGAAATACCATCCTGTGATCGGACGCGATCCCCCCACAGAGATGCAAGGTTTGCCCAAAGAGCAGATGCAAGACGTTGGATTTACTACCAGCCTCGATATCGAAACAAGGGGTCAGATGTCCCTGGGTGAGTGTGGCGTCTGAGGCCGAAACCTTGCACCTAACACATTTCCCCCCCACAGTCGGAAAGGATATGAGCGCTGTGGAGAATGGACAGAAAGGACGATGATTGACGAGGGGGAGGAGGGGGAGCAGGAGGAGGATGGTGGTCCACAACTCCCACATCTCCCGCACCACTGCTAGTGAGACCCTCGTCGTCTGGTGGAAGCCTCTGTTGCCGAGTGTCTGTCAACCTCGATGGAGGCACGGAGCAACCTGCGGCGAACTAGAAGAGCTTGTTGTTCAGCTTGCAGTAGCCTCGCTCTGACCGATAATTCTACTTGACGCGCTCCTGCGTCGATGCCAGCCAATTCATAGACCACAGTGTTGCCGACAATGAAATGGCGCGGACCGTCTTGCTTGAATACTTCATGGGGAGAGAAGTGATGATACTTTGACCACGATGACGTGGGACGTGTTACGCTTCGCCTTATTGTCACCCTCAGAAGTCTGTGTGAGATCCCCATACCAGCCATCACACACAGCAACATTCTCAGTAACGCAGGTAAGTGGACCCTTCGAGTGAGCACCAGATCAATAGAACCCGCGAAACAACTCCCCAGGAGGAATTGTTTGCTTTCTGCCATGGAGACGACCGGTAATGCCTGCCTGGATAACGGGACGATCTACACTAGCAAGTCGAGAAACAGCAGCACCTACACGTAACCGTGAGTCAGCTCCGTCGGGACTTCCAGAGGCATCCCCAGAGATTATGATGGGGCCATCGACACGATCCACTCCTTGCCCAAGAGCCAGGGACTTTCTACACCGACGCCCTCCCTGGAGGTACCTGCAGAGTTTATCGGAGGGTGTCTGTGTATATATATATATATATATATATATATATATATACACATACATACATACAGATGTGGCGCAGGGGGCGACGAGAGGGGGGAGGGCGAGGATGTTGACGTGCCTGGCTGCTTCTCTTCGCCCAGGGCTGCGGGGGCCCTCCTCGCAGCGGCGCCGCACCCGCCCAGAGAGCTCCTGGCCGCACCGTGCCTCGAAGGGGGTCCGAGGGAGAGGCCCCGGGGCACCCGGCGCGCCACGGCGGAGGCAGGGCGGCCCTGCTCTCTCTGTGTCTCTCTCTCTCTCTCTCTGTCGAGTTGCGGAGAAGAGCCCGTCCTCGGTGGTGGGCCACGGGCAGCGGTAGGAGGGGGAGGAGGGGGAGGAGGAGGAGGAGGAGGAGGAGGAGGAGGAGGAGGAGGAGGAGGGGGAGGGGGAGGAGGAGGAGGAGGAGGAGGAGGAGGAGGATGAGGAGGAGGAGGGGGAGGAGGAGGAGGAGGAGGAGGAGGAGGAGGAGGAGGAGAGGAGGAGGAGGAGGAGGAGGAGGAGGAGGAGGAGGAGGAGGAGGAGGAGGAGGAGGGGGAGGATTAGGAAGTGGAGTTCTATTCTCTTCTGTCCTTACGCGTGGTTACCTGCTGCTGGGCGGTGCACGCTTCAGACACTTACCCGGGCATCGCTCGGACGTGTGCATTTTTCTCAGCGAGGACCATCGAGGATCATGTGAGGTCATCTAGCGAAAAGTACCAGCACGAAGCCGAAACATGCACGGGGTGGCACGGGGAATGGACGTCCGAGCGATGGCGAGTGGTAGGTGGAGGAGTGCTATTCTAGCCTTTCGCATGTTTGCCCGCTGCTGGGCGGGGCATACTATGTACAGACAATTCCACATCAGGAGACCTCCCGCCAGACTCAGGCGGCAATTCCCTGCTCGGTCTGCTGATCACATCTTTGCCTGCATGAAGAGGCAGGAGGGGGAGGAGGAGGAGGAGGAGGAGAAGGAGGAAGAGTATGAGGAGGAGGAGAAATAGGAGGAGGAAGAGGAGGAGGAAGAGGAGGAGGAGCAGGAGGAGGGAGGAGGGATGTAGCAGGAGAAATAGGAGGAGGGAGGAGGAGGGAGGAGGTAGGAGGAGGAGCAGGAGGAGGGAGGAGGAGGAGAAGCATTGTAGAGCACGTGCGCAGCACAGCGTGCATGGAACATGAGAGGGAGGGAGGAGGGTGAGGCCTCAACCAGTCGTCGGATGCAATTCGCGACTGGCCGATGCCTGCGCTGCAACCACCGCAGCCGACGCTCCCAGCCAGCAATCAGGCCCGTCTTAGGGATCCCTGCATAAGTGGGAAATTTACCAGCAGAGATGCGGGCCAAGGTCTCCCGTCCCTCCTTCGAATGGGGGGAAGCAGCCAGCAGCAAGCTGACGCCCGTCCACAGTGGCTGTGCGACTGCAGTGGTGATAGAAGCACATGCTGAACCGATCCCAGAACCCAAGACGATGGGAGCTGCATAGCGGGATCCCGCAGACAACCACGGGCCCTGGGATCGAGACGACAATGTCAATAGGCCACTTTTGGGACGCATCCGAAACCCAATCAGTGGCGCCACAGTCCAGCTGTTTACCCGAAGTCGAGAACCCCCCGGCGCCTGAAGCAACGATAATGAATGCAGCACTTCGAGGCACGGTGGGAATTGGATCGGGTGGCTCTGTCCCCGGGACGGGCCCTCTCGGGAGCTTGGGGGCCGTCTTTGGCCTTGATGGGGTCGGCTAAAGCAGCATCCACAAGGGCCCGCCTGGCTCTCCTCCTGCTGAGGGCAGCAGTGGTGTCCCACTGGTCCGTGGCAGGTGCGTCGCCGACCAGACCAGCCGCCCCCTTCCTCTCAGCAGCCTCGCCCGCGGCAAAATCCGCAGCCGCATTATTCACCACAATAAGCGTTGCAGCAGGGGTGAGGCCAGGCTTGTCAGGATCAAAATGCGAGGAGGCCTACCCGACAGCACCCTCCCATTTGATTAGGCCCCTGCACGGAACCTACCAGCGCTGACGTCGAACCCACGGACAGACCCTGTTTTGGCAAACGTGGCAGTGAGACCGACTCCTTAAAGAGGCCAGAGGCTCTCCTTCCGAGCATCAGGAAGGAAGCCACCGACACGGCGTTGATGGAAACCACAAGACCATGGGAAGCCTCCTCGCTCAAAGCAGTCGACGCCTCAACAATTCCGTGTTCTAATCTGGCTTCGGCGTTTTCGGGTGGAGGACGAGGATGATGAGGAGGAGGAAGAAGAGGAGGAGGAAGAAGGAAGCGGGGGGGAATGAGAAGGCGGAGGAGGAGGAGGAGGAGGAGGAGGAGGAGGCGGAGGAAGAGTGGGGGAATGAGGTGAGAACGAGGGGGAGGAGGAGGACGAGGACGAGGACGAGGGAGGCATGCCGCCACCCAGGCTGCTGCCCGCCCGCTCGCGCGCGCGCGGCGACTTGCAGAGGGGGCGCGGCGCTCCTCGCGCGGCCGCGCAGGTCAGGGGCGCGGGCATGGAGAAGAGGCAGCTCGAGCTTAAGGCCGCCTCCCGGCCGCTTGCGGGGCGGGGTGGGATGGATGAGGAGGATGAGGAGGAGGAGGAGGAGGAGGAGGAGGAGGAGGAGGAGGAGGAGCAGAAGGAGAAGGAGGAGGGAGATGAAGAGAAGGAGGAGGAGGAGAAGGAGAAGGAGGAGGAGGAGGAGGACGATGCTGCTGCTGCTGATTATGCTGCTGCTGCTGATGTTGGTGATCATGTTGATGTTGCTGATGATGCTGATGCTGATGCTGGTGCTGATGCTGATGCTGATGCTGATGCTGATGCTGCTGGCGTGGATGATGACGCGAATGATGATGCTGATGATGACGATGATGCTGTTGCTGCTGCTGATGATGATGGTGATAGTGATGCCGATGCTGATGATAACGATGATGATGCTGCTGCTGATGATGATGCTGATGAATATGATGCTGTTGTTAATGCTGCTGCTGCTGCTGCTGATGCTGCTGCTGATGATGCTGATGATGATGCTGATGATGATGATGATGATGATGATGATGTTGATGATGATGGTGGTGGTGGTGACGAGGATGATGGAAGGAGGAGGAGCAGGAGGAGCAGGAGGAGGAGGAGGAGGAGGAGGAGGAGATAGAGGACGATGAGGAGGAGAAGGGGGAGGGATTGAGGGGGACAATGAGGCGGAGGAGGAGGAGGAGGAGGAGGAGGAGGAGGAGGAAGAGGGGCAGGAGGAGGAGGAGCAGGATTAGGATGAGGCAGAGGAGGAGATGCAGCTCGAGCTGAAGACCGCCTGCCGGCCGCTTGTTGGGCGGACTGGGGTATGCCCAGGAACATGAAAAGTCAGTTTGTTCCGTCAGCATCTCATGGGAGCCTGGTACGTCCTTGCAATTATGTATTTGGATGGGTTGGCGTGCGGTAGCGTTTGGTAATCGATGCGAACGTTCAGATGTAGCGTCGACTAGCGTTGATTAGCGTTGGGTAGCGCCGATTCGCAAGAGGCAGCAACATGACATCGGAGGCTGCCATGAGTTGACATGGAAGGTGGTTCGGGTTGGAAGGTTGATTTGTACCTGTTCTATCTGCCTCGGCACCAGAGCCTGATGATCACATGCGGCCGCAGTCATCCATCGGCGTGAATCTCGAACCCGCCAAGGGAACAAGGTTGCAGAGCAGCGTGACTCAGTGCTACCCCTTCGCTGTGCGTGCGTGTTGCCACATTCCAGGCCGCCTGCGGGCTGGGGTGGGGCAGACACTGATCTCCTCGGGTTATCAAAACATCGCGACGGGATTGTTCTTTTGTTGTTGTTGCATTTTCGGTCTCTGGGTGCTCCCGCGGGGCCTCGGGACCATAGAGCAAAGACTCGGGGCGAACAGCGGATCCCCGGGAAGGGGTCCAGACCTCTGGGGGTCGACGCCGTGAACCACGTTTCTGGGGGTCACGGTTCCTGGGGTCCAGACTTCTGGGGGTCACGATGCCAGGGGTCCGGAGTGGGCGGTCCATCCCGTCTCGCAGCGCCATCCTCTCCGTTCGGGGGCTGCGTGTCTCTGCCGGCCTCTCCCGTCGTGCCTTGAGCCTGCTCCGCCGCCCGCGGGCTTCCTCGCCCCCCCTCGCGCTCGCCCAGTGCGGCCCCGCAGTGCCCCTTCGGTTGCCTCGGCCGCGGCTTGGTGCCAGGCCGCTGCGTGCCACACAGGTTTTGCGGGCCTGCCCGGTGCCCGCGCTGCGCACGCGGCCGCTTTCAGTGGCGCCGCGGGCTGGGCGCCCGCGTGGCATGCATGCGAAGGGGGGTGCGGCACCGAGCGGGCCTTTCCAGAAGCATCCCTCCGGTAGCGAATCGTAGCAGTCCTGTATACCCTCGTAAGTCCGCTCTGAGAGTGCACCTGCGTTAGTCAGCGTCTGGTAATCGATGGCACAGCGCTGGTTTAGCGTCGGCTAGCGTCGATGAGCATCGATTTAGGGTCGATTTTGCGTCGATCAGCGTCGACTTGCGTCGACGAGTCTAGATCAGCGTCGACGCGCAAGGGCCAGCAAGATGGCTCGGATGCAGAAGATCCCCCGTAATTCAAGGCGGATGGGCATGGACTCCCAGGGGCCAGTCGACAAGGTCCTCCAGCGGGGAGTCGACCTGCGTCCACTGGGCGGGCACGAGACCCTGCAACCAATTATCCTGGCGAAGGACCCAACCATGTGCAGTTGTGAATATCGCATTGCGGGTGCCGCTTTCGGTGGAGCTCCCTGTGGGGCTACGAAACGCTGTGCTGGGTGGGGGTGACGCATGCGGGCGGCACCACTGGGGCCTTCGGTGGAGGTCCCTGTGGGGCCACGAAGCGCTGTACTGGGCGGGGGTGACGCATGCGGGCGGCACCACTGGGGCCGTCGGTGGAGCTCCCTGTGGGGCCACGAAACGCTGTGCTGGGTGGGGGTGGCGCATGCGGGCGGCACCACTGGGGCCTTCGGTGGAGCTCCCTGTGGGGCCACGAAATGCTGTGCTGGGGTGGGGGTGACGCATGCGGGCGGCACCACTGGGGCCTTCGGTGGAGGTCCCTGTGGGGCCACGAAACGCTGTGTTTGGTGGAGGTGCCGAAATGGGTGTGCGGGACGCATGCGAGCGGTGGCACTGGGGCCTTCGGTGGAGCTCCCTATGGGGCCACGAAACGTGTGAGGGGTGTGCCGAAATGGGTGTGGCTGACGCATGCGGGCTGGGGCCACGAAACGTGTGAGGGGTGTGCCGAATGGGTGTGGCTGAAACGAAACGTGCGTGCCGAATTGTGGTGTGGCTGAGCGGGGCCACGAAACGTGTGAGGGGTGTGCGGGGTGTGGCTGACGCATGCACTGGGGCCTTCGGTGGAGCTCCCTATGGGGCCACGAAACGTGTGAGGGGTGTGCCGAACTGGGTGTGGCTGACGCATGCGGGCGGCGGCACTGGGGCCTTCGGTGGAGCTCCCTATGGGGCCACGAAACGTGTGAGGGGTGTGCCGAATTGGGTGTGGCTGACGCATGCGGGCGGCAGCACTGGGGCCTTCGGTGGAGCTCCCTATGGGGCCACGAAACGTGTGAGGGGTGTGCCGAATTGGGTGTGGCTGACGCATGCGGGCGGCAGCACTGGGGCCTTCGGTGGAGCTCCCTATGGGGCCACGAAACGTGTGAGGGGTGTGCCGAACTGGGTGTGGCTGACGCATGCGGGCGGCAGGCACTGGGGCCTTCGGTGGAGCTCCCTATGGGGCCACGAAAGCGTGTGAGGGGTGTGCCGAATTGGGTGTGGCTGACGCATGCGGGCGGCGGCACTGGGGCCTTCGGTGGAGCTCCCTATGGGGCCACGAAACGTGTGAGGGGTGTGCCGAATTGGGTGTGGCTGACGCATGCGGGCGGCGGCACTGGGGCCTTCGGTGGAGCTCCCTATGGGGCCACGAAACGTGTGAGGGGTGTGTCGAATTGGGTGTGGCTGACGCATGCGGGCGGCGGCACTGGGGCCTTTGGTGGAATGGACGACGCATGCGGGCGGCTGGGGCCTTCGGTGGAGCTCCCTATGGGGCCACGAAACGTGTGAGGGGTGTGCCGAATTGGGTGTGGCTGACGCATGCGGGCGGCGGCACTGGGGCCTTCGGTGGAGCTCCCTATGGGGCCACGAAACGTGTGAGGGGTATGCCGAATTGGGTGTGGCTGACGCATGCGGGCGACAGCACTGGGGCCTTCGGTGGAGCTCCCTATGGGGCCACGAAACGTGTGAGAGGTGTGACGATGATGGTGATGATGACGATGATGGTGGGTGATGACGATGATGATGATGATGATGATGATGATGATGATGATGATGATGATGATGATGATGATGATGCTGATGCTGATGATGATGATGATGATGATGATGATGATGATGATGATGATGATGATGATGATGTTGTTGTTGTTGATGATGATGATGATGATGATGATGATGATGATGACGATGGCGATGATGATTGATGATGATGATGATGATGATGATGCTGATGATGCTGATGATGATGATGATGATGATGATGATGATGATGATGATGCTGGGAGGAGGGAGGAGGGGGAAGAGGAGGAGAGGAGAGGAACGCGGGGCATCGTCTCTTCAAAACGAGGACCCAACACCACAGGATGGTTGGGAAAAACACTGGATTCGTTCATGGCCTCCAGCAGCTTCCTGCTCGAGATCGGCGGTCTCTCGGCAGGCCAGGATAAGGGTACCGTCAACCCGCACAGTAAGGACGAGCGACTTTCCAAGGCTGCCCCTGCATCCTTGCCCCTTGAGCCCATCCTTGGCCGCTTTCGCTGGCCGCGCCCCGCCCGCAAGGTGTCGACATGGCCATCCAAGGCCCTTGCCTCCTTACCGCGCATCCTTACTTTTCTTCGGGTTGGCTGTGTCAGCGGCCAGCCCCAACCCCTGTGGCACGGGGTCTCAGGCGCGGCTGTCCCGCGCCGCCCGCAAAAGCTACCTTCCTCGCCGAAAAGCGCCAGCATCGCCAAGCCGCGCGCGCGCGGCTATGGCGAGCTCGTCGCAGTGCCAATCACATTCCTTCGAATGCCTGGAGCCTTGGGCGCTCGGCATCGCTCGGACGTGTGCATTTTCTCGGTGAGGACCAACGAGGAGCATCTTGGATCATCATGCGCAAAATACACGCATCCGAACAATGCACGGGGAATGAACGTCCGAGCGATGGCGAGGGGCGAGGAAGACGTGTTTCGAGAACGGATGCCCTGACCCGATGAGTACCCCCCCTCTCTGCCATACCACCCCCCAGATACTGACGGCTGGCCTGCGGTCGCAATTGTGCCCAGAGGCCCTGTGCAAACTCGTACAGGAAGATTACATAATCCATGCGACCTACTTCGAGCTGGAGTCTCCACCACTCGTCGGAGGCGACGCCCACGCTGCAAACGTTTTGGTCCGCGATAGCACCCGACATTGGTCCTCCGACGTGCCTCCAGCGGGCGGTCTCTGGCAGTTTGGACAGCCTTGTGGACAGTTTAGTCTAGGCATGGGTGAGATCAGCTGAAGCAAGTCTGGAGCTGCCTAGTTCCTGATTCGATAGCGGGCATGCGGCTAACTAGATCCGGGGCACGGTAAGCAGTCAACGTGATAATTCCGCCCCGGACCCCGACCCCCCCATGTCCCAGGAGGTCTTCGGACGCTCCCCGAGGCCAGCGCGTATGCCTTGGAATTTCGACAATGCCAAGCATCACCCAAACCCTAGAATTGTTTAAAAGCGTGCAGGGGCATCGAGGATCGACCTCTTCGATCCTCGATTCTCGAGGGCCGAGCAATACAAACGACCCTCCTCGATCCTCGAGGCTCGACTGCTCTAATTGGAGCATCCGCTCGCCGCCGAGTGTTTATGACAGCCTGAGCGTCGCTCGTTCTTGACTGTTTGTCTGTTTCTGTTGTTGGGCTGCTTGCTTGTTCGCTGTTGTTTGTCTCATCTGGCGTGTTTCCTCCTGGATCCCACCGCTCCGACTTGGGTCCACGCAGGCCGCTCGTCTTGGAGGTTGGCAGACGCCCCGTCCTACCAAGTCGATCAGCGGAACGCCCCCTTGTCGGCTGTCGCGAGGGTGCTCCCCGTCCCGCAGCTTCAGCGGGCCTGCGCCCGCCGGGGCCTGGCCCCGGGCCGCTTCCGCCAGAGGGGTGTCCTGCCAGGCGGGGCTGCGCCCACCCCCGGGCACCTTGGGAGCCGTGAGAACTCCAGTCGCGGAGGTCCGCCGCCGCGATCTCGTTCGATCCGTCGCCCCAGAGATCCCGACCCTTTCCCCAGCGCCACTCCTTCGCTCCGCGGGTCAGTTTTGAGGGTCCCGTGGCCCGATGACGAGCCCTGGAGGCCGAGCTCTATGAAAAACGTCCAGATGGGAGAAATCGTAGAGAGGGGACGTACATCAAGAAGCCAGTTGCTGCTCGTCAGGGCAATCGGGGTTTCTTCGCTCCCCGCGCTGCACGGTGACTTCCCGCCGCGGGTCGAGAAGCTGCTGCGTCCATGGAGCTCCAGGCTCCCTCTCGGCTGCATCTCGCGCGCGGGTTTTTCAGGGCTGGGTTCCTCTGCAGGGGTCTCTCGCGGCCGCGTCCGCACTGCACCGTCAGGGCGCTGAGATCAGGACCCCTTCGGGCCCAGGAGGGGCTCTGGTTTTCGGGCCGTTCCTCAGATCTACATCTCGGTTTTACATGTGAGATGTTTTTTAGGATATTGTGCCAAATTATGGGCAAATAAGTCACAAGAAGGTGGATTATAGAAATGAGAAATCCTGGAAAGAAATAACAAGTAAGACAATTTTTCGAACCTGCTCGTGGCCGAGGCTCGCCGTGACCTGAACGACGCCGTCGCTCCTTGCTCAGCGCTTCCTCTTGGCAGCACGACGCCTGCCTGCATCGTCAGCTATCTGGGACGACAGCTGCCGAAGGCACCCCCCTCCGCGCCCGCGCCCCCGGGGGCTGCGCTGACGGGCGTGGTCTGCGAAGTCCGCCGCCCGGGGAAGCGACTTCCTGGGGCTCTAAGGGGGGGGCGGGGCCCCGGGGGTCGAGCAGGGGAGTCGACTGCAGACGGGATTCGCCCCAGCCTGGTTTGGCTCGTCGAAGCTGCGAAGCAAGATTGGCAATCTTCGCAGATCTACGGGGATTCCACGCGTGCGTTTGCAGATCCGACGCGCAAGGCATTCTTTGGAGGTGCATCAATTCTGCAGTCGATCCTTTACTCGAAGGGGGGCGGCGGAGCCCTCCCCCCCCCCACGGGGCTCGCGGCCAGAGAGCCGCACGGCGCGCGAGCGCCGCGCCCCGGGGGCGGCGCGCCGCAGGGCCGCCCGGGCGTGGCGCGGAGACGTGCCCGCTCCCTCGCCTCCCGGAGGGCCCGACGGCTCTTCGTCGCGCTGCGCTGCTTGGAACACCTCCTTGGTTAGCAGGCACTCCGGGGGGATGTGCGCGACGTACGTGTCATTTGCAAACGACTTACGAGCCTGTGATACAACTCGCATGTTGCGGATCTCACCCTGAGCGGGAGCGATCCACATCGGTTGGCAACGTATCTGAGTGATCCGCAGTAGTTGGTTCGGCGTGAAGTCATCGTGTCTTGTGAAGTAGGACTGCGTGTGGACTGCATGCATGTTACATCTAGGATGTGCCCGCCGTCGCCACGCTACCATACGCCATACGACGGAAGGGCGCAGGCGAAAGCAGAACAATAAGTAGGACGCGAAGGAACCGGGCTTTGCATGCAATGTACATACAGAGTGCTGCAGGCAATCGCCTTCACCACAGTTGATCGCAATGCTTTCCGCAATCGTTCGCCATTCGAGGGGGGGGGAAATGAAACAGAGGAGGCCTTCTCAGAAGGCGGCGGGGGTTCTCGGAAGGCCGCGCGCCTTCTGCGAGGTCTTGTCAGCGTCTTCGGGGGATCATAGATGTCTTTCCTGGAGACATCACTTAATATTATGATTGATGTTTAAGATTATGATTAGTGTATACGAACCAATCAGGAATGCTCATCACAAGATCCCCTGGAAAAGTGTCTTCGAGTCTCGAAGGTTGTGGAGGTCCCGTGACAAAACGCTCAGAAGATTTCCCGAAAAGGCCAGGGGGGTTGCCTTCTCGCTTCCCCCCATGGGCCCGCCGCCTCCCCGAGGGCCTGACGACTCTTCGCTTATGCGACCTGCAACGGTAGAGTTAAGTCGGGCCTGTCCCTCTACAGGAGTAATATTCAAAAGTAGTCGAAAAAATAGTCAGGGGACGATTTTTTGACAATGTTTGACTCTTTTGGTGTATTTTGTGACTATTTTCAATTCTTCGCCCAACATCCCCCTATAGGAGGGCATGCTCGACTTGACGGTACAGGCGCGAGAAAAAAAGGCGCGAGGCCGGACGCCCCTCGAAGTCATGGCCCCAGTTGGATCGGGCGGGTGGCAGTGGGGGGTGACCTACAGGGGGGGGGGGAGGGATCGCGCGTTCCTTTCAAATGCTTTTTGAGGCCCCTCCAGAGGATCTTAGAGGTAGGGGGTCTTGCGTCGCGACGCGCGCTCGGGCGCGCGCGCGGCGCGGGCTGCGGCGGATAAGGACCGCCTTGCCCGCAGTGCTCGGGGGTGGACAGAACCCCCAACAGTGACACGTCGATTAGTGAATTGTCCGTTTTCGGTTCTCGAGAGGGCGCCGCGGCCGTTATTTTCCAGGCTTGCGCCCGCCAGGTTTGGGCCTCAGGTCGTTTTCACTAAACCACGTTTTGCTAAAGGGAGGTCTGTCCATCCCCGAAGTGCGCGAGGGGGGGGGGGAGAAAAGGGCTCACAAAGGGGCCCTGCAGGGCCCCTCTGGGAGCCAAAAGGGGTCCACAAGGGGCCCTTAGGGGCCCCTTTAGGGCTCGCTTTTCGGGTGCAGCTCCTGGGATGTCAAATTCTGACTTTGCCCTGGTCTGAGATCCGGTTTAGATCGGCGCACTCCCGTTTTTTTCCGGTTTAACCCGGCTTAATCCGGCTTGCTCCCACTTAATCCGCGGCCTAATTTGGCGTAGCAGCCCCCCACTGGGGCCTGCGTAATTTGCTGTGCTCCTGCTGGCGAAGACCTCCCAGTAGTTGCCTCCTAACATGTCTTCGCCCCGCCGTTGAGGTCACCTCCCGTTCCCACCCGCCCAAAGCTAGACGGCCTCTGGCCTGGCCCCTGGTGCGCCTCGCCCCCCCCCCCCTCCTCCCGCGGCCGGGGGCGCCCGCGGCCGTCCTGTCTCTGCGGCGGCGGCGGCGGGGCCTTTCTCGTCCCCCTGGCTCGCGCCGCCTGCTTTTTTTCGGAGGGGGCGAAGGCCAGGCAGGTCAGGGTAAGTTCATCGAGGGTAGAATTGCCCCTAGCCTTTAAGAACACGATGAAGACGTAGCCTCACTGAGGTCCCCGCCTTTGCATTCTGGATGATACTTCTTGGCGCTTTGGTTCGATGCATCTGCACAAGAGTCCCCCTAGCCATAATGTTTCTTGCTCTCCTAACTGAGGCCCCCTCCCAAAGTGTCAGGGGTCCTGTTTTGACAATTAGAAGGTGCAGACAGATCTAAGCAGATCCAGGTAGATGCAGAAGTCAAGGCATATGCAGAACAATCTACAGTCAACACTGGTAGCAAGGACGAGCGATCCTTTCATCCTTTTTCTTCGGCCCACTCACTGTCAGTTTTGACGGAATGCAGATCCAGGTAAATCTTGGCGAATACTAGCAGGTCCAGGTACATCCAGAGATTCCCAGGGACGTGCGGCGCAACTCGTGGCCGCTCCAGCGCGAGTCGGGAGACGGGAGGGGCGGCAGAAGTCGTCAAGCCCTGAACGAATGTGCCCACCCCCTCGCCCTCGCCGTAGAGGCTGAGCACGAGAAGCAGCTCATCGGCCTCGAGCGCAAGTTCCAGCGGCAACTCATGGAGGCCCATCGCGAGGTTCGAAGGAGCAACTTGCATAAGCATGAATATTCGGAGCTCCGCGCGGATTCCTTCGATCGGCGCTGGCCCCCCCCCCTGGCGGCGCCTCAGGCGCCGCCCATGGCGCGCTCCTCGCGCCAGTGGTTGGGGGGTCCAGCGCCCATCCAAGAAATCCGCGCGGACCTCAGAGGAGGATTACATCAAGTTCTGTAGGCGGTGAGAGCGGCATCCACGGCTGCCAACAGTCGAGCCCTGTTTGGGGGCACGTGGCAGTGCGCGACACGCATTGCTTGTACTCGACTTGCTTGCTTGCTTGCTTCCTGTTCCTCTTGATGTTTGAGGTTCCCAGACGTTTTCGTTGGTTCTCGGCGGCTTCCAAGCCTCGGGATGCTCTCCAGCGGCTGCGCCTCGCCCAGAGCATTCCGGGGGTGCCCGGATCGTATGGAGCGGCCGCCGGAGAGCTGAGTTATGATTTGGCGGCTGCTTCGTGCTTGGCAGTCTCCTCCTTCTGCACCAACATCGTACGTCCTCCCTCACTCCCTTCTTTTCCAGAGGAAGAGGAGGGGAGAGTTAGAACGAGGAGGGAGGATGATGGAGGAAGGATGAGGAGGGAGGATGAGGGACTGGTGTGCCCCCCCCTGTGCAGGTTTGATGGAGATGGGAGGGGGGCGTCTCCAAAGGGGGTACGCATCAGGAGCTGCACTTTCCATTCACTTTTGAGACCACGGCACAGCAATGCATTGCCATGTCAGGGAGGGATGGGATGGAGGAGGAACATCTGGAGAAGGAATCGGGGATGAGGGGGGATGCATGGGAGGACGGGGTGGATTGATGGATGGATGGATGGATGGATGGACGGGAGAGGGGGAGACGGGAGGAAGGGGGAGGGACGGAGGGAGGAGACAGTTTTGCATATTTTTGCATATCATAGTATATCATAACACATCATGACCCTGCATTGCAAAGCATGGCATAGCATGGCGTATCATAGCATGGCATGGTCTGGCATAGCTCAGTACGAAGCAGCACTGCAAGCTGGCGCCCACTGCGCGTGGAATCGGCCTGGCAGGTGCGCCCAGACAGCGTTCTTCCAAACTGCAAGTTCAATGCACCCCTACGGTAAGTCAGTCGAATGTTATCCACAGACGAGCTGTACACATATAAAGCGTTCCAGAAGGGGCCGGCCGTCGAGGATCGAAGGAGTTGGCATCTCATCCTCGGCGGAAGGCGGCGGCAAGCGGCGGAAGTAGAACGAGGCCGCCTCCGCCAGCGGAGGGCAGCGGGAGGGCGGCGGAATGTGGCGCAAGTGGAACATGTGTCCCCAAGAGATGACAAGTTTCGGGGGTTCAGGGTTTTCAGAATCCCTCATACAAGTATGTATGCACACGCATACACGTATACATATAACGGCGCACCGGGTCCGGGGGCCCGGGGCCGGGACCTCGACCACAAATGTGGGCCCCGGGGGGCCCGGAGGCTCGTCGGATCGCCGGACGCCGTCCAAGATCGTTCGCAGGCGGCTTCGGAACGCGCTCTGATGGCTCCAGATGCCTTCCAAGACGCCTGTCATGACACCAAGAAGGTCCCAGAAGCCAGAAGCAAAAATCGTGCCATTCCTATGGGAAAACGTATATTTGTCGCATGTTCGCCTCTTGGGCTTTCACCGCGTCCAAGACGGCCCAAGAGGCGCCCAAGACGGTCTACGAGGCCTCCGGGAGCGCTCCAAGGCTGCGCACGAGTGGCCCAGGACGGCCCCAAGACGGCCGAAGAGAGCCCCAAGACGAGTTCGAGAGGGGTCCCAGACGGAGAAAGCCAACCTCGAATTCCGAGCTTCCGGCCCAAGAGGCTCCAGGAGGCGCCAAAATGCCGCCAAGAGGCGCCAAAAGGCTCCCAAAAGCACCCCAAGACGTTCCGAGAGGCACCCCAAGAGAGGTCCAAGAAACAAAAATCGTGCCATTCCTATGGGAAAACGTATATTTTTCGCATGTTCGCATCTTGGGCTTTCACCGCGTCCAAGACGGCCCAAGAGGCCTCCAAGACGGCCTAGGAGGCCTCCGGGAGCGCTCCAAGGCTGCGCACGAGTGGCTCAGGACGGCCCCAAGACGGCCCAAGAGAACCCCAAGACGACTTCGAGAGGGGTCCCAGAAGGAGAAAGCCACTCTCGAATTCCGAGCTTCCGGCCCAACATATCCCAGGAGGCGCCAAAACGCCGCCCAGAGGCGCCAAAAGGCTTCCAAAATCAGCCCAAGACGTTCCGAGAGGCACCCCAAGAGAGGTCCAAGAAACAAAAATCGTGCCATTCCTATGGGAAAACGTATATTTTTCGCATGTTCGCATCTTGGGCTTTCACCGCGTCCAAGACGGCCCAAGAGGCCTCCAAGACCGCCCCAAGACGGCCCAAGAAGCTTCCAAGAGGGCCCCAGGACAGCCCAAGAGGGCCCCAAGACGGCCCAAGAGGCGCCCAAGATGGCCCAAGAGGGCCCCAAGACGGGCCCAAGAGGGGGCCCAGAGGGGGACCACGAACCGCAAGCTCGAGCCTTCCGCCCCAAGAGGCCGCCAGGAGGCCCCAAGGAGGCCCCTCAAGAGGCCCCAGGAGACCCCCAAGAGGCCCAAAGGAGGCCCCGAGAAACCCCAAATCGGCCCCCAAAATGCTTCGAACCCGCTTCCAGGAGGGCCCCGACAGGTTCAGAGGCTCCCGAGAAGCTACGTCAAACTCCCAGCGAGCGGCCAGACGAGGCCCCCCACAAAATCACAAGAGGGTTCCAGTATTTGTATCCTTCAGCGCTCTCTGGCCTTGTTCCCCCTGCCCCCTTCCCTGCGACTTTCGTTGACTCAAGCTCGCCTCCTAGCTAGAAACTAAGCGCGCGCGAAGCGCGCGCGTGTTCCTAGTGTGTGTATATATACATATACATGTGCATGCATATTCCCCAAGAGAAGTGCTTGCACTTAGGGTTTCTTATTTCTCTTCCGAGGAACTGGGCCGGTTGGTTGGTCTGGCGGCTCCGTGCCGGCCGTCGCCGCCCCGTCGCCGCCCGTCGGCTGTGCCAGTTGGCCGGTCTGGCGGGAGCGTGCCGGCCGTCGCCGCCTCGTCTCCACCCCGTCGCCGCCCGTCGTCTGGGCCGGTTGGCTGGTCTGGCGGCTCCGCGCCGGCCGTCGCCGCTCTGTCGCCGCCTCGTCGCCGCCGTCGCCGCCTGTCGCCGGCGTTGGATTATAGATCGCGCCTTCGGCGCGCTTTTCGAGCGATCCCAACACATATCTCTCTATATATATATATATATGTATGTATGTATGTATATATATATATATATATATATATATATATATATATATATATCCATATCTTTCTATAATCATATATATATAGTATATATATATACATGCATATACACACATGTATATATATAATAAATCTATATCTAGATGTACATATATGACCCTGCATATTTCACACCACAGGCATTTGAAACCATGTATTGCACCACGCTGGCTGCACAATATTTGGTTTATACGAGTTTTTGCGACACCTCGGAGGCCCCTTTGCCCATGCTTGCCCGTGTCTTCCGCGGCCCCTTGCGGCTCAAAGAGTTCTGGCGAGGGGATGGACGGGGCCCTCCGAGGACTCCAGGCAGTGGCCCCGCTCGCGCCTGACCTCCTCCCTCCGCGGTGCCCGGATTGCAGCTGCGTGTCAGACTGCTCGGTGCCGACGGAGATCGTTGGGTTGCTGGGCAGGCAGCTCGACAGGTGAGGCCCTGAGCAGTTGACCTGCCCCGTCTGCCCTGGCTGCCCCGAGCTGCGCTGCCCCACGCAGGGGCCAGCGCTCGGGGCCTTCGCCGCGGGCGCGGCGATCGGGGCATAGGCCACCGCCTTGGCTGGGGCGGTCTGGAGGCTGCGCCAGCCTGCAGCGGCGGCGGCGGCCCCGCCAGCGCTCCTGGACGACGAGCTGCTCCTGGCGCTGGACGCTGGGGGCGGTGGGCACGCGGCGGCCGCCGAAAACGAGGCGAGGCCAGCGGCGACACTCCCGAGGCCCAGGTGGCGATCGACTTCTTCGACCATCCGAACGGGTTCACGTTCCACGTTCGGGTCCTCCTCGTGCCGGCGGGCGCCGGCAAGTGGATCTGGGTCATTCTGGATCACAGCGTGCAATTCGGGGACCTCACGACGCACCGAGTGGTGCCACTTCCGAGGAAAGCGCCGTTCCCTCGGCGCCTGGCGGGTCAGCTGTGCGCCTTCGGCCCTTTCGAGGAGGGCGAGTTCCAGGCTATTCAGGAGCAGGCGGCGGCGCTGGCGGCGGTGATGGGCATCGAGGTGCCGCGCGGCGCGGCGGCGGCTCCGCCTCGCTGGGCGGTCGCCGACCCCGCCCATGCGCAGTTCGGGCTGGTCATCGATGCGGCGATCAGCGGCGCCGAGTATCGTTTCGTACGGCGCGGGGCGGTGGCACTGGCGATGCTGGACGGCAACGACGACGACGGGATCTGCACTGTCTGCGAGAACGTGCCGGAGGAACGGCATCAGCAGTGGCGGGGCGAGAAGCATTCCGGATCCGGCCGGGGCCCTCGAGCGTGCCCCGTCCGGCGGATAGGTCGAGGCGCGCCGCGGCGAGCTACGCTGGGCCATGAGGCCGGGCCATCGAGACGCGCCGCCCGCAAGTCGCCGGCGATTAGGTGTTCCGCGGGCCGAAGTAGCTGCCGGAGTTCCTGGCCAGCGCGCGGGCTTCAGGCTTGGGGATCGCTTGCTGCGCGAACCGCAGTGTCGCGAGCAGCGGGGTGCCGCCTGGCAGCGCGGCGGTCCACGAGATTCGCCTCTTGCTCGAGGCGCTGCGGCACTTCGTCGAGTGCGACCAGGTCGACGTCGCGAACCTCGCGGGGGCCGAACTCATCGCGGGGGGGATTGCGCAGACGCAGCGGGCCATTCGTCGGAACCCCAAGCGCCCCGACTACTCCGGCTTAGAGGACATGCTGGCCTCGGCGCTGGACGAGACGGGAGGGGTGGTCACCGGCAAGTTCGAC